CACGTTGGAATCCTGCAAGAGATATATTCGCGACAGATTTTTCCAACTCTGCATCTTGACTCAAGTCTTGCCACAGTGTTGTGCGTATTTCGAGAAGCCAGTCACAGATCCATAATTGAGTAAGCTGAAAAGAGAAAGCATAACAGAGATTAGCATAGGGCAGTCTTATTATAAAAATACATTCACAGACACACACACACATTATATCAATTTCATTGAAAACAAACATGTATGAAGAGTTTACACTTACTGGAATATGTTGACACAATTGTCTCAGGCATGCCAAGTCACGTTGGAATCCTGCAAGAGATATATTCGCGACAGATTTTTCCAACTCTGCATCTTGACTCAAGTCTTGCCACAGTGTTGTGCGTATTTCGAGAAGCCAGTCACAGATCCATAATTGAGTAAGCTGAAAAGAGAAAGCATAACAGAGATTAGCATAGGGCAGAGTCTTATTATAAAAATACATTCACAGACACACACACACACATATGAATCACAGGTAGATATAAAACTATTGTACATGGTGCTGCAACCTGCCACAGGAGTTGCACTGCAGGAGTATTGCATAGTTATATTTCATGCAATGCAACTACAATGCACTCTTGTAACAGGTAAACGATAGCACAGGTTATACTTGAAAAAAAAAGTAATAACCTTTAAAAGAAATATAACTATTTTAAATATCTCTAATATTCAATCAATGATGAAACTCTCGAAATATTCGCAATCACTTCTGCATAAGAATATATATTGATCTCTTTTAAACAAAAATGCATAGCCAATATTAATATAATTGTTTTTCTATACATTCTTTTACACAAAGCGCAAGACATCCGCAAATGTAGAGTTTCGTGACCAATAATTCTGCAATTGCATTTAATTTTGCTATTTCAACTTGAAATAGACTAATATCACACATTTAATACTGTCGGTAGAGCAATTATTCGTGAATTAAAATCTGTCACAATTAATTTGATAATTTACCAAGACTTGCTGCGATGATTGCTCCTTGCAATGATAGTACACCATAGACTGTTCGAGCAGTAATCCTGCCTGATCAATGAAACGCATAGAAGCCATCTTTGTAGAATGTTTTGCTGCTTGCAGAACATTGAGTACAGCATGTGGTAATGGACTGCTGCTGCTATTATCGCTGATTTGGAAATTTCTTTCATAAGGAAATTTATTCTCCACGATATTCCATGCCTTTGAATCTTCCTCTCCTAATCTCCAACTCGCGGTGGCGCAAATCACTGCCCCCCACCATAATCCAATCTCATCTTCGCACGCTACAAAAATAATAAAAAAGAAGAAATAATATACAAATTAATAACATGCTGAAAAAAAATAGTTCATCTTTATCCCCTATCAAATTTTTAATTTAAAAAGTATCAACTTTATACATATATATATAAATACAACAAAAATATATCATTTATACATATAAGATTTTTAAACATTTTAAATAATATTCTCTCGTACTTGCTACACTGATTTTGTCAATAGATGGGAAACAGGCGTCCACTTCTGCAGAAGCCATGATGATTCGTCCCAATTCGAGTACGGTGGACGCGTGACACTCTCCGACCGTACCGGTCAATAAACGCAAGCACTGCTCGATTAGATGATTTCTGTAGGCGCGAGCTGCGTACGATAGCGGGTCCGCTCGACTGCTTTGCGATGTGAACTCGCTATCGGACTGTTTCTTGTATCGCCACTTTTGGGATGCCAAGAATCTCGCACCTTCATCAGTCATGATCCACTTTAATTTCGGAGGAACGGCACATGAGGACAACAAGACGCGCGCCTTGCCCAGATAATATTTGTGTATGTATGGGAAGAGAGATTGTTTCAAGCATAACGCGGCGTTCACATATATTTCCGCCAGTAGTGGCTTCGGCATACTCTCGCCGGCGACCTCAGCGTAATTGACGGCGCATAAAGCGAGATACAGTGTCGAATCTTGCGTACCCTCGGACAGACGAAGGCAGAGCATGTGTTGGTAGACAACTGCTATTTCTACGGACATCTCCGCCTGTTCCCGTTCCGATTTCTCCGAGAACCACTTGCCGATCAGCGTGATCCATCTTCCCAGCCATAATTTATGAAGAATTTGCCTCACTATTTGCCACGTGGTCGCGAGATAAATTTCTGTGCGCGATAACGGAAAGGATCGACCAAAGTATTGCAACCATTGATGTAAATCTCGATACGCCTGATTGTACTCATGTTTGGATATATTAAATTCGGCCTGACGTCTCCAACGACGTAGTTCAAGGAAGATCTTGCTACCGGTAGGAAAAACGGGATCACCGTACAGCAACAGTCTACAGAAACCACCCGCCAGAAGTATCAAATTGATGAACCAGATAATAACATTGCTCCATAGCTGTTTGTCTGATTCTGGTTGATCTGGTAATCAAAAAAGAAGAAATATCAGCGATAATGAATTCATTAAAGTAAAATAAAATATAATCTTTACCTTGATAATTGAGTATCGTCCGTCCGTCCAATCTCGTGTTTAAATAATCATAATTGAATTTTCCGACATTGTTCATGAGAATACCAAGAGGATTGAATGCTAAGAAGAGTAGCATAAATCCGCATAACGTCAATCGGGTGTGATCTCTCATGCCTCCAGAACTGGACACGGAATGAAGATTCTGTAGAATATCCGAATCATCTTTTACCGACGACGGAGAAGGCGGTGACATCGGTGCGGGTGCAGGTGACAAAGACGGCTCGCTGGAATCTGAACGCGGAGGTGTAAGTTCCCCGCACACCAACAGATCGCGAAGATTTTGTCGTTGAGCGGCCATTTTCAGCGACATATTCTCGGCTTTTAACTTTGCGTTCGTGTTTTGCAAATATCTACAATTGTACAGGAAAAATAATTAGAAAGTTCATCATCAATATACGAGTAAGATAAAATTAATTATCCTTTCCTGATGTAGTCGATAGTTTTCCGTAAAATCGCTGACTTGTTTAATTTGGCATCGATGCCAACTATAATGTTCTTCAATTCAATTATTTTATCGTTGATCGATGTCCTATAACGTCGCTCAATAGCATTGTGAGCGCTGCGTTTCACTTCTCTCACTCTTGGTACACCTACATGTGTAGTTGTGTTTAGACGATTAATTTGTACTTTGTCAGTGTCCAGTACTACAGGAATCCCTTGAATAGAACACAATTAAATATATATCGATGCATTGTATAACTATATATATTTTTCGTATCTTTGTATAATAATAATTATTTATGTTTAAGCTAGATTATAAATATTTTGAAAATAAGTTTATCTAGTTTTACTTACCAGTAGTTAAGACTGCTCCATTTGCAGTATTTACAAGAGTATGTATCTGATGTGGAACAGGAGTCGATGTAATGGTCTGTCCATTTTTAGAATACACAAGAGATTCTGATTTTATCAATTTAGCTGGTAGAAGTAGCTGCCGTTGTTGGGCAACCGGGGCCAATGTTACAACATTTGGAGATTGAACATTAAAATTCACATTTTGTGGTATCGCATATTGTGAGCTAAACACTGTAGGTGTTGTTGAAGCCACTGATATTCTCTGTGGTCTATTTTGCGGTATTGATGTAATATCTTGCTGCATATAAGCAACAGGTTGATTACTATCCGTCACTGCTTGTTGCGTTACTATAACATTTGTACTTGGTGATTCGAGGATAGCTGGGTCTTTGAAATCTTTAAAATCCTTAAACTCATCATTGTTGATATTTAAGAAATCAAATGTATTTCCATCCACTGGTATAGGATCTTCCAACTCAGAAAGTAGAGCCTCATCGCTAAAAAGCTCATTTTTCAATAACTCATTCTCGCAATTTGTTAAAAGATCTGCAATATATTAACAGATAATTATCATAACCAGGCAATATGATAAAATATTTGTAAATATTTAATACTAAAAGCCAGTTTTTTTGTTATTAATTATATATTGTCAATCTTTTTAGTTTTAATTGCTTTTATATATATATATATATATAATAAAGTAAAAAATATATATTAAATATACATCAATTATGATAATATAAAATATAAAAAACTATATTTCTAAAGCACTATTTTTGAGTGAATAAATTTAAATAGTATACATATAATACAAGTTTATAGAACACAAATAATTGTTAATTAAAAATCAATTATTTTATATCATTTTTTGTTATTTTTGTATAGCTGCATACAGTATTATAACAGATAAAGTACAAATGATGCATGTAACAGCCAGGCAAAATAATACCTGCCTAATAAAATAATAAATGTTACAAAACTTTTCTCGTTAGTCTTGTATATCTCTGGGATCTTAACAAAAAATGCTCAACGAGAAAATATATTGCTGACGATACCTACCATCGATGCCAGTGACTTCATTCAAATTGAAGCTGTCATTCGATTGGAAATTGGAGAAATCATTGTCTCGGGCCGGCGCCCATCCGCCTGGGTCTGCCATTGTACCCTGCGTCGTCAGATTTTTAAATATTTTGTCTCACATCGAATAAATCCAAGAACGATAGATAGCTCGTGCGAGCGCAACACCGATATGTCAAACGCAATAACTAAAAAAATTATAAACGATCGTATGATCATCATGTGGCCAATCCAAGCGCCGCTACAGATCGGATGATGTTGCGTCATCGCGCGCGATACTAAACTCGTAAAATCGACGCCTCTGGCATTTTGTTGACAGGATTGAAAATACAAGAATCCGTTCAATTTGTCAATTTTAAAAAAAAATGACAATAATGTCGTTCATTTTTCCAGTGCTGTTTGTCAGTTTTGTCTAATAGCGGGGCGAAAGAAGTGATGTGATAAATACAATAGGTGATCCAAAATTTTTTTTCTTTTTCTCTCCACATTGGAAGGAGAAAGATAAGCTCTGAACTAGTGCAGTCAGTTCAGTTATAAAGAACAGACCTATGCGCTCAAGTATAATCATAGACTATGATTCTTCAAGAACGTATGCGAGACACGGATTTTTTATCGATATCTCGTTGCGAGATATTGATTCCGGCTTATCGAAAATCGAAACATATATCGCATATCTCATCGTATCTCTCAAGTCTCTTCTTTCGTGGCGACGTCAGGACGTGAGTTTTCTATGTAAGTTTTTGTCAATATTTCAAGATTCTTTAAGATTTGGACCAAATTAAAATATAATTTCTCGCTATACGTCGAAAATAAGTATATATTCTCGTTTACTGATATACGGCAACCTCACCAACTTGGCCGGAAAATGCAAAAAGTCAAATTTCATTTAATTGCTTTTACACGCAAGCCACGTGCATATTTTGCGTTGTATGTTACGCTTTGCATGCAAAGATTCTTCGAATAACGGCAAAAAAAAATACAATTAAGATTGTAATTAAGAATCTGATATCACACGAAACTTGAAACGTAACGTTACGTTCGTTTTATTCATCTGAAAAATTTCAAAAACATTTAGGTTAAGTTCTGTATAAGAAATCCTTTAACAGTTATGTACAATTTTTTTCTGTTACAGATTGACACATTGCCATGACTAACTCGAAAGGTTACAGACGTGGCACGAGGGACTTGTTCTCCCGCAAGTTCCGTAAACATGGAACCATTCCCTTATCCACGTATATGAAAACGTACAAAGTCGGCGATATTGTCGATATTAAGGGAAACGGTGCTGTACAAAAGGGTATGCCGTATAAAGTCTATCACGGCAAAACCGGTCGCGTGTTCAACGTGACTGCGCACGCCCTGGGAGTCATCGTGAACAAGAGAGTGCGTGGACGTATCATTGCCAAGAGGATCAATGTTCGCATCGAACATCTGAGCCATTCAAAGTGCAGAGATGACTTCCTCAAGCGCGTCAAAGAGAACGAGAGACTCAGGAAAGAGGCAAAGGAGAAAAATGTTCGCGTTCAGCTCAAACGACAGCCGGCCGAACCATCTAAAGCACATATTGTGTCGGGACGTGAAGCGCCCATCTTACTCGCACCAGTTCCATATGAATTTATTGCTTAAAATATTGAATAAACTATAAAATTTTCAAAATAGAAATCTAATCTATTATTCTTATATTACCATCACATAACATTGCTTAAAAAGAGTTTGAATAATTAATGCTCTGTCTTTGAAGAACAAATATCATGTATGAAATATTAATATGCTGCTTTTAAATCTGATTGCTTATTTCAATCTCAGACTATAAATATATCATTGCGCATAATGCGTAACAAATGAAATTGATGTTCTGATAACAATATTTTTATTCTCAGTCATATTTTCTTTACATTTGTATAGAATCTGATAGTGCTTCCAACGTTTCTCCCTATATCTGGACACATAAGTTATTGTAATAATGTAAATTATTCATTCTCTTCCAAAGATGGACTAGCTTTCGGACATACATTATAAATAAATATATAAAGTATTACACATAAACTGCTCCCAATTTTTCTGAAATAATCAATATAGTTTATACAAACCAAAAATTTTCTATAAAATTTAGATAGATTATGAAATTCTATGTCGCGTCTCTCCTTATTTATATTCTAGGAGCCAAACCATAATCAAACAATCATATATCATTCTCATAAATAATCTAACATACCATTAGAACATTCATATTCACCGCGCACTTTGTTACAATACGAAAATTAGCAGGAGTATGCTTAACTTCACAATTGCTATTTATATTAAACTTTAACTACAATCACGCGATTGATAGAACAGAATATAACCAGTTTCAGAGCTCTTTTGAATATCTGATGTAAGTCCATAAAAATCTTCTATAGTTGATGCATCAATTTTCTGTAAGTATAAGGATGTCTAATTTTTTTGTTCTAAATGTATTTTGATAATGTCTAATTACATAAGACACATTAAAAATTAAAAAACTTACATCGACCATATCATCATCAAAGAGCAACCAGAATCCATGGCTTTTAACTATAGAAATGTAATGCCCTCGGTTAGGCCCACTTCCACAATGTATCACAACTGCCACCAAATCATACAAACGATCTGGGTTTACAGCATCATCACTCTGCAATTAAAACAATTACATATTGCTATTAAACATGAAATAATTATATATTATTGTCTTTAAGAGAAAGACTTTACAAGAATTTTTAATATTTCTGAATATCTTTGTGACTATTATATTACATACACATGTATGTATGCAATAATCATATATATTACTAAGATTTGGATTTTAAGATATTTTATAAAACAAAAAACTTACAGTATTGAAAAGTCTGAGTTCCAATGGAAAAACTACCCTGTGAGATACTTTTATGTGACGATTATACTGTTCCACATATTTAAATCTCTTTAGATGCAATGCTAGGATCATAGGTAGTTTCTTGACTCTCATTCGTTTCTGTAAATCAAAACAATCATTTCTGATAAATAATTTATTCAAAAGGCGATAACGAATAGAATACTGTATTGTTAATACCTGAGCTTCCTGATAACTACTGCAGTGATCACATTTGAATTTGTTGTCGCTACATAGGGTCTCTGTATTGGAGAAACATCGGAGGCAGTGCGTGATCGAAGTGTTTTGATCTACATCAACTTGTAGATCAAAGAAGTCCTCGTCTTTGCTAGAAACAGTCTCACAGTTAAGGCAGCGTGTTTCCGAGGTCAATATTCCTTGGAATATCTCGTGAACCCACGTAGGTTCCGGTGGCGAACCAGCAGCATCTCCTGCCCCACACTTTCCTCCGGCCGGCTTGTTCTGAGTTCTCTCCGCTAATACACAAAATAATAATCATAAGTAAGATGCACTATAAATGCCACTAAAAAAACAAAATGCTTACCTAGAATAATTTCATTTATATGATTTATGAGAAAGTTTAAGAACTCGTGCGCATCTTGTTGCATGTAATTATCAAATTCCTCTGAAAAGAGATGTTAGAGTTACAACATTTACTATAAAATACAAATTTATCCATAATAATGCTGTATACTGACCTTTCTCTTTTCTCAATCTGGCAATAAACTTTTTTGGTGCTATAGAACCTACTTTTTTCTTTTGTGTTGCAATACTGTAAAACAGGTCTGCTAGGCATGTTAATAGTGTCTCTTTAGTTCGCTTATTTCTAGCTTTGTATTCTAAAACTTTTTCTCTAAACGGACGACAAAAATATAAAGCTTGCAATACTGAGTTACTGTAACAAGTGTTGCCAAACTGCAAGAATATATTTTATTATGTTGAATAGAGCTTATAATATAAATTAAATAGGCTTATAAGTCTTTAATTTTCGAATATTACATATATAGTTTCATTAGATAAAATGTTTTACTTACATTGACTAAACCAAAATAATGTTCGTTGGGTGGAAACTGATCAGAGCCAATATCTCTTTCTAATTGTGAGATGTTTGCACCCTAAAATTGTAGATAAAGATAATATATTATTTATTATTTGTAACACATATATAATATTATTACAATATTAAATTTTCATTAGAATAATTTCTTGTACAATATATATATATATAAACAACAAAATATAATAATAAAATACAACTTTGTGAAATGCGACAACATATAAAATTACGATATATGTATATCAATATAATGCAGCTCGTTGAAGAAAATCTTGTAGAAATAATTATAATTAAATATATAAACATTAACATGTAATTCACTAATTTCTCGATGTATCTTTATTTTTATGTTAAGGCATATAAAATAATACAATATATACGTTTTTGATATGCACATTGATCGTGACATCGGTCGTAAAAAGATGTACGATTGCAGGGATGTGCACACGTATAGGAACTGATAATAAGTGTTTAAAGTTATCGAACAGATTCGTATATCTTTGTTTTCAGAGATTATTTTTCCAGACATCATTTTTCAAGGCTCCGTATATGTGTGAATATAAATGTGTATGTGTGATGGAATACTTACCATTTTATGATACAGTAACTCGAGCGTGACACTGACAAGCACTTAGCACGGACTTGAGCAGCGGCATAAACTCCATCGTATATCGACGGATCCAGAATCTTTTCTTTAGCTAGAGCATTTCCATAGGGATGAGATATCGTCGCGACACCGCAGTGTAACACAGCGCTATCCTGGTTCCCCGCGTTCCACGTGTCGGCCGTGGAAAAACGTCGTCGCGCGACTATTTCAGACTATTTTGACGATTCGACGACGAAAGATCCAGCTGATCGTGCGAGGTTCGCACTCCGCGCTTTCGTTCTCGCGATACGACGAATTAGCCGAAACGGACTTATCCCGTCGTCGCACCTCGCACCTCTCTCCGCAAACTTTTCAGCAGTCAAAACGCACCACCCTCACCTACCCCTACCCTTTGCTCTCTGTCTGATTATATCATAGAGTTCTCGAATGAGCTAGATATGCCCGTGTTCATTAACAACTTGAAGGTTGCGTTCGAAAATCTAGTCGTCATATTTGATTGACCAATCAGAAGTAAAGTCTCATTGGTCGATATGCTACCCTATTTCCATGAGTAGATTTTTGAACGCAACTCTGAAAGCAGGGTTATCAAGGTTAAGTTAAATTTAAATGGAATAACTCGTGACCTATGACCCATTGTATCAAAACACATGGATATCGACTGATTGTTTCTGAGCTTGAGCTCTGATAAATCGTTTCAAAATTTATATCAAAGATGTTACGAATATTCGGCATCGCGAATCCAAAGTGCTCTGTCAGCTGTCACTTTCATCTGACGGTAAATTTTAACGATTTGTCTTTATTTATGAAAAGATTACAGTAGAGCTAATATTTCTACAATTTTTAAATATTTTATTATTTGTCGCAATATAGAGTTATGTAAGAGCTTGCATCTAATATATGAAAATGCCTTATTACAGTGTGCACGAGCTTCGACTGAAAGCAATAAAACATTTTCAAAAAAACTAGAAGATGGTCCACAATTCGAGGACTTTCTAAAAGATACTGTTGAAGAGTACGATGGAAAGTTAAAATTGGAAAAGGGTGAGTCAGGACGACTGAGGCTACCACCATGGCTGAAAACAGAAATACCTATAGGCAAAAGTTATAGTAAAATAAAAGCACAATTAAGACAATTACGGCTGAGCACGGTCTGCGAGGAAGCCAGATGTCCAAACATTGGAGAATGTTGGGGTGGAGGTACTCATGGTATAGCAACCGCTACCATCATGGTTTGTACGATAAATGTTTAACTTTCATGGTTGAAAAGTTTCGAGAGAATTTGAATTATCCCAAAATAATGATATAATATACAGATTGAATTACTTTGATATGAATAGCATCGAATAAATTTTAAACTTATACGAAATGAAGAAAAATCTTATTAAAGATAAAATAATTGATTATTTAGTTAATGGGAGACACATGCACCCGTGGTTGTCGTTTCTGTTCCGTTAAAACTGCACGAACACCACCACCATTAGATGCAGAGGAACCGATCAATACTGCTAGCGCAATAACAGACTGGGGTGTGGACTATATTGTTCTAACATCTGTGGATCGTGATGGTTAGTTTGTTACATAGGCCTTTCTCTAGATTGCATATTTAAATTATACCATTATATAGGTCATTTAATACATATTAATTATTTTAGATTTAAAGGATGGTGGGGCCAGTCATATCGCATCCACTGTTAAGGAAATAAAAAATAGGTAATTTACCTGTCATTTCTATTTTTTAAATATTTGCTTGTGTAAAATAAAAAAGTGGCTTGTGCTTAGATATCATATTGTAAATATATTTTATTCATTTCTTTGGACAGAAGTAATATTCTAGTAGAATGCCTGGTGCCAGACTTCAGAGGGAACGAGGATTGCGTTGCTACGATTGTAAATTCCAATCTAGATGTGTTTGCACATAATATCGAAACTGTGGAGCGTTTAACTCCCTTCGTTCGAGATAGACGCGCTCAATATAGGTATATTTACTGTAATTTATCATTACATATAATACAATAATATAGTACACATAAAACTATTGTATTACATATAATGTATAGTTTCATAAGTGTGTTTATTAATATTATACGCATTTATTAATTCAGATTAAAAAAAAATATATTATTTACTATGTATAGGCAGTCACTGGCCGTATTAAAAGCGGCTAAAAAGTTCAATCCCGATTTAATCACAAAATCATCGATAATGTTGGGCCTTGGTGAGACCGATGAGGAAATTGAACAAGTAATGCGGGACCTAAGAGATGTTGGTGTGGATGCTCTAACATTGGGACAATACATGCAGCCCACTAAAAGGCATTTAAAGGTCATCGAATATGTAACGCCCGAGAGATTTAAAGCATGGGAAAGTGCAGGGAATCAATTAGGTTTCTTGTATACCGCTAGCGGTCCATTAGTGCGGTCATCGTATAAAGCTGGAGAATATTTCTTAACAAATATATTGAAAAAACGGAAGAAGCAACAGATAAATGACCAAACTGCATAGTGAAAAAAGAATAAAATATAGTCGTGTAAAAAATAAGTTTAAATTCTCTTTTTTCTTATGGCATTCGGTTATGTAATGTTTTAGTAAATATGTATATAGCTTTGGATTTTTATATATATAATTTAGTAGAAAGTTTTCTCTTATTTTTCTTCTCGTATATAATTTTTTAAAGAATTTTTCAGATACGATCGATTATAGAACGGCGTGTCTCAAATTTATAAAATTGAATATTTACGATTAATTGTAAATGTGCTAAATTAAGTTATTTAATTTATTTATTAATTGTTTATATTGTAAATATGTGTAGTAGAAAAACGAATGTAATTAGCAATTGAAGACAACTTCAATGTACATACAAGGATACGATACTGAAGCGAATACTATGTATATTTGTCAGGACGTTAATCCAAAGTATCAGTCATGTAACTTTTTCTCTAGAGCGGAACCGTGAAAAATGAAAAATTTTGCCATTAATTTCAATGATAATATTTTTCACTCTTCACATTTACGCTTTAAGGAAAAAGTAAAATGATCGATACCCAGGACAAAAGCTACATTATTAAAAATATCGTATCTTAATTTAATCGTAAACAGATTTAAAACATTTTACTATGTAAATAGACTGATAATAAATATTTTATCGGATTAATTATTGTTACCAAACACAGATATTTAAGCATAAAATGTGCTTTAATTTTTATATATAAATTGTATAGGATAAATTTTGTATATATTGTTTAATTTTTATATTATCGTTTAATCTGTATCCATGGCAATGGCTACTTGAGGATCTTGTGGGGCGTCGTCGGCAGGCGGATCTTGCGGAGGTCTATCATCTTGCACAACTTGCTCTGCAGGTCTTCCGCGTTTGTCATCTCCTTCGATTTCAGACAAATAGGTGGCTGTTGTGGCTTCGTCGAGAATCGTGAAATCATAATCCTTTCCTACTATCCCAATTGATACGTTCTGAAACGTATAATTAGCGAGATTTGACATATATATATATATATAAAAAAAAAAAAAGTAATATTGGCAAGATTAAAGTTGCTTATTATAGATTATTTACAAGTTTTGCGATATATTAAAAGATTTACATTAGAAACTAGGCGAGAAGTTTACCTTCACTGACAGATCAACTTCATTAGGTAAGGTGTCGCGTAACGCTCTAAGGCCATGCTTTACTAACTCGTCAAGATCGCACGATAAAAATTCATTCAGATGTTTCTCCAAGTACGTTCTCGCACTTTGAGAGCGAGATCCTATAGCCATTGCTTTACAATCGAAATAATTCGCCGATGGACATGTCTGATATATATGTGGGCCTTGATCCTGTCAAGGATAATTATCATTAGAGAAACATAATATTTGGCATATAATGTATAAATTGTGCAAACATTAATATAATTTTCAATAAATTCTTACATCGTATCCTCCGACGAGTAAACCGACACCGAACGGGCGTCTGTCGTATCTCTGCGTGCATGTCTGCATTTTATTTCCCAGAGATGTGATTAAACGACTCACAGGTAATGTATCGTCATGAGCATACTTATAATTCAAGCATTCGGTTCGCATATAACGGCTATAAGCAACAACAATTTATTATTGTAAATTGTGAGATAACGAAATATATATGACAAAGAAGTATCAAAAGAGCAGATCTTTTCCTATTGTATGCCTCACATATTATATAATAAAAAGATTTGACAAGAACTAGTAAGCAAAATAAATAATAAATAGTAGATAGTACCTCAATATTCTTGCATCAGCAGTTAAACCTGAGATACTAATCCCCATATGCTTGTCTATCGGTATGATCTTCTTCTGGTGAGCCGATAATTCCGACGTTGCTCTTTTCAATGCAATAAGAACAGCATGTGTTTTATTCTTGAGACCTACAGTGGCTGATCCCAATTTTACAGCTTCCATGGCATATTCCACTTGATGTAGACGTCCTTGCGGACTCCATACTGTTACATCGCTGTCATACTGATTGCGGAACTAAAAAATACACAGTGTTAATAAATTTATAAATTTTATTTAAATAATTTCACAAATTAATTGAATATTATATTATAATTGTATTCTGTAATTCATGGCAATATTGTCAGCGCATTGTCATTCTTAATGTTCATCAAATGTCAAATGAGGATGCTGGCAGTAATTTCCAAAAACAGCCTACAATTTTTGTCTTTCTCTTACTATAAGAATGTTTATTTTATTTTATATTTGTATGATCTATTGCATGATATTTAGCTTCTTTTCTTTTATTCATCTTTTCAATATCAATAAAATAAAGTAAAAGCATACATGTAATACTCTCGTTTTTTGATTTATAAAATAAGAATTACAGAAAAAAAGTTACATGTCTTTAATTATTATTATTTCTACTCATTTCTATTGACATAAAGTCATACATAACCACACAATTACAAGACTTTAAGATTTATAAGTTTTCTTTACGATATAATTAAATATATATAAAATTTATTAAAAATGGAAATCAATCAAGTACCTACCATTTTTATAAGCCGTTTCTCTTAATCGTGAGGTTGCAGATAATAAGAGAGCAATATATATTAGTTGCAAAATTATTTCACACAATTCCAGAATACTCGCGGCTTGGCTTTCGTAAATCAACAGTCATCCAGCATTATAGCTATAGATACGTCCTGTCACTATTGACTCATATTCATGAAGAACGATAACGTGAAGGCTCGTTTGGATATGCGCATGAAAGAGTGGCATCCACGTTGTCAATTGGCCATTTCAACACAGGATCTTCTGATTGGCTGACCTGATCTAGTGGAAAACTCTAAGCACCAATCGCTGTGAATGGCTGTGGTCAATCACAACTTGATCAAATGGAACGCTCCCATATAAAAAAATCCGTAGCTCATGGCAAATCGACGGAGGTTCATGGTTCATGGTTTCCATCTTTCTTGTAGTCTTGTAGACTCTTTGAAAGGAGCATTTGAAACAATTTTTTTGAGGTTGTAATTAATTATTTATTTAGAAGTGTGATATTGAAGAGATAGATATCGGTAAGAAGAAAAGGAAAAGCTCAATACTTATTTAGATATTTACTCCTACGCTAAATGATTATTAAGTGATTTTCGCTGTAGAGAAATTTGTTTTCTTAACTCCAAATGGCAAAGGTTGAAATAAATAACGAGGTGAGATATATATATATATGATTTATAATACGAATAAATAAAGCGCGCGCGATCTGTTTACAATTGTCATTGCTACAGAGATGTATTATTCATTTCGTAATTTATTCTTGTAATATTTTTAGATTGTTCTGCTGCGACATACGGTTCGTCAAGCACGAGTTTGTATAGTGAATAAGCTTATCAGAGAAGCTAAACTCTTACGAAACAGACATGGAAATGAAACGCAACAGGAAAAATGTAAAAAGAAAGCTGATAAACTTTTCGCTGAAATTTATGCATTGAAAGTAATTAAAGACGATGATATTTCCAAGTTTGGTATCATAAATGAAAGAGATTTGACTACAATATTACAAGATGAGTCTTTAAGTCATAGCGATCGTGTAATAGCAAGAGTTGCATATTATAAAACTTTGTACAGAAGACTAATGCAATTTAAGGAGAAGTTCCCAGACTGTAAAAGATATTTAGTAGAAGAAAAGAAGAAAAATGTTAAGTTAAAGAACAAAGGTATTGCAAAAACTAAAAAGTCTTTAAAAGAAGATCCTCAATCTCAGAATGAAAGTTTAGAGCAACAAAAAATTAATTCTTGTAAAAACATTAAACAGTCTCAATATAAATCTAAAAATGAAGAAACATGCAGTACCGAATTACTTGAAGCCGCAAATAATTTGGATGAATGTGAGAAATCATTGAATGAGGATAATACACTTCTGAAAAAAGAAAAAGTGTTAAAGTTAGAAGATGATACATTGGAGGATACAGTTGTACATAAGCAACCAAATGTAATTAAATCATGTAGTGTTACAAAAGAAGCTACTGTAAAAAAATTTACCCAACTCTTAGAGGAACAAGAATCTAGCAAAAATGTGGAGATGTCTATCAAAACTCCAGATTCCACAACTGAACAAGCAAAAATATACGATGATTTTTTCATTACGGGAGATAATCAAGATTCTCAGACGAGTAGTATTAGTGCCTCGACATCATATGTAAAATCTCACGAACATAATACACGAGTAAAAACATTCCAATCAAGTAACGGAGCTAAAAAGCAAAATATAAAGTACAAAAACGATTCAAATTTCCATAAAAGATATCAAGATAAACAACCTTCTGTTAAGCGATTAAATAATAGAGCATCTGACAAAATTAATAAGAGTATAAATAAGAGTAATTCAAATGATGTCAATAACAAAGAAAAAGATACTGATTTGCATCCCTCTTGGTTGGCTAAAAGAAAAGAACAGAAAGTCATGAGCCAACAATTTCAAGGAAAAAAAATTGTATTTACCGATGATTAGATTAACATCTGTAATAATTTATAATAGTAACAGTTCTGTAAAATTATAATAACAAAAAAACTTTAAAGAATTGACCAAGGACTTTGTATTGAGAGTGCATTGCAAATTTATGATATATGCCTGCAATTATTTTGACAAATGTTTACATATGTACATTTATTTAATGTAATTTATACAAACGTTCTATGATATTAAGATGTTTTTTTTACTTTATAAATAATTTATAATGTTTGTTATACAAGATACAGTTGTGTGTTAGTCGATATACATTTTCATTCAACATATCCTGCATTATGCAAAATATGTTATAGATGTAACAACGTATTTGGAAATAATATTTAGTCAAACGAATAAAGGCGAATAAAAATATGAATTTAAGCAATTAAATAAAGAAAATATTCGGTTTAATACCTAATTTTCTTCTCTCATTAACAAAATTTAACATTGCTTAGCTAATTAATATTTAATCTTTACAATGTATAACGAAGGAAGAGAAGCAAACATCATTCTTTTCTTCTCATGTACATTTGCATTCTAATTATATACCTCCACAGATAGAAAATTTAATGATTATAATAAGATAATCGAGTCTCCACGAGCAGGTGGATTTGGAGTAAATGCATTTTCCGAACGTGATAATCGCGCAAAGAAATTTCGCATCACTTGTTTTTCGAAAGAGTGCGTTGTTTCTCGGCGTGCGGAACTAGCTGGGAGTCTACAGACAAGCCTTTCCTTCGACGAACTGTGTCCATGTAGCATTTAGCTCGATTATCGCTGTCCGCTTTTTCGCCGAAATGGAGATATTCTTCCTCCGTAGATGGCACCCAGTAAGGATCCTGCTCGATAACCTGTATCACAAAAATATTTAAATGATTAGTGTTAATACAAATTAAAATTAGCAAAAAAAAAAAAAAAAAGAAAGAAATAGGAAAAACATCTCTCTTCGACTTCAAACTAAAAATTTCGACCTTTTATTTATTTATTTTTTTTTTTTAAGATTAAAGATAACAAAATATTTGAAAAGAGGACGTCAAAATTCTATATATTTCCACTTTTTTTTCCAAGAACATTTTACTGCGTAACAAGATGAGGCGCGGTAGATACAAAAGATATACTCGACAGCTTTTATGTACCTCCCAATGACTAAAAACTAGTTGCGGACTGGCCAATCCAGACGTTTGCGTCCGCAGTTCTCTCGCAAGGTGGAAACTTTCCAGAACCGGTAGGGTGGCCAAAACTCTGAATTGTCCACCAAAACCGTAAGCACTTTCCGTAAATACGATGCGACCTTGCCTCTTACCGAACACGGCGTACAATTTTCCTGCAACAAGAATAATCATCGTAAATTTTTATCTTTGTTTTCTCAGGACGAACGATATCGTAATGAATAGTCTCTAATATTGAATGTGTACTGTTTTAGCAATTCTTTATAGTATTCCTCGTACAATATTTTTTTCCATTCCCCAAATAACGATAGCCAAAACTTATGCTATTATCGCTTTTATATAAGTTTGTATAAGATATTTTGGTTTAAGCCTATTTCTCAAGAATATGCGATACAAAGGGATCGCGAATACCTTAATAAGGATCTCGAGCGATAAACCATCGTGAATAAAAATGTATCGAAATGTAATGATATTTTCGGTAAAATATTCATCGACATATTCGATATAGTTTGCTTCTAGAATTAATGATTTATCGTATTGAAAAGATACATAGATGCGAAATGAGAAATGTTTGGAATTGCAAGAAAAGAACGGACTTGAAGATTAAAGTTTGATCGAATACGCGCAAATAGAAAGGGAGGGAATCATGGATGAAAAACTGGCTTACGAGGGAAGAGGAAAGGAAACCACGGACACCGATGCACAAAAAGCTACGCGGAGCGTAGTAAATTGCGGCAAAACAGACCGCGCGCGCGAATGCAAACTCGACTCTGGAAAAAAAGTAAAACGCTGATACGTTGCCGGGGAGCGTCGTAGAAGAGAGGATGCGATACAAGGACAAACGCGGCAACGACGACATGTCCCAAGAAAACGGCGACGATGAAAACGTTCGGAGAGGAGAGATAGAAAGGCCCCCGGATAGAGAGTAGTAGTGGGGATGACGTAAGAGCAAGAGAAAGAATGGGGAGGGGGAAGGGGATAGAGGCAGTCAAGAATGAGAAGAGAAGGAGGGTGGAGGAGGGAGAAGGGCAAAGGAAAAGAGGTGGGGGTCCATTCATGCTTTACTTCTGGCTTTTAAGAGTCCAGTCGAGCGGACGGCATACCTTCGCGCATAGGTCGATCTCGTCCGACGTTCCGTTTCACTCGACCTCGGCGATCGTTTTACTCGTTTCATTCTCGAGAGGACACGTAAGAACCCCATGGAAAGGAGTCTCGGTTGGACAATAAATCCATCGATCGATAAATACGACGAATAATTTCGGGCAACGATTGGAAAATTCAGTGAGAGTGCGCGACACGCTCTATCGGCCCACAGGAGGACCACACGAGATTGCCACGGGGCACCGCTCTTTCATGTTTCTAGAAATCGAACGGTGGTGGAACGCAAGAGAAAGATAAGAGAGAATTTCGAGTCACGGTAAACAGAAACACGTGACGTTTGTGTTGACCAATTGTAACGGCTGAAATAACTCTAGAGAACGAAGCATCGACAAATATTCGAGAAAGAAGATTCCAATTGCGCGTGCCATTTTTCGCAATCTTTTATCCAAAAGATTCTTCCCTATTTTTTAATATCCCTCGATCGCGGAATCATTCAAGTCATTTATCATCGGGGAAAGGCCCTTCTCTTTCTCTCTCTCTCTCTCTCGATAACCGATATTATAAAAATTCAAGTCTGAAAGTCGCGAAAATGGACTTCAAATAGTAGCAAATTATCGACGTTTATACGAGCTTTCTAAATTTATCTCTATGATTATTCTACTGCGAATATTTTTACTATGAGTATTTCCTCGATTCTCTTCTCCTCGCTCATTTCGAACGCCACATTGCGCAAATAATAACCTTTTTATCGCATCTCCAATCCATTTTCCAATCACGAGTAAAACGCGATAAATTTCCCTCCGAACGAACGAAAGAAAGACACAAACAAGCGACCGCTGGGATTTTTTTTATTGAGAAGAATTTGACTCCTCTCGTACGAGACAAGATGACTGGCAAAGCGATACGGCACCTGCTGTACATCCTGCTGACGATCGTCGGCATCGTCCATCGGAGCAAATGCGAGTTCCTCGAGAGGATCGAACACGACGATTACCTAAACGAGTATTTACTCTTCGACGAGAGCAAGTATCTCGCCGAATTGCAAGAATTCGACGATACAACGCTCGAGATCGATCTTATCAATCGTAATAGAAGGCACAGATTGACGCATGAGGAGCCCAGGGTGCTCTACCAAGTGGGGGTAAGGCACTTATCGATATACTTTTTTTTTTTCAATTCTCTAATCTTCCTAAATTATATATTAATAATTTATCTCTAGATAAGTTTGTCACGGAGGTGTAGATATATATTATCAGTTAAATTAAAGAATATCTGACCGATATGTGTGCCTGCAATAACGCAATTTATATTTCTTGTATAATGTCCCTTTATCGCTACCTTCGCGTATTCTTCTTCCGATATTTTTCAATTAATCAAAAACATACATTAGATGCCTATATCAAATACGTTAGCGTCTCTTTAAGTCAATTTTACTCTGTTAGAATCGCATTATTATTCGTCAAGTTCTCCGAATAAATTATCGTCTACAAAGCGATTAAATATTAATGAGTCTTGCATTGAGTAGGCAAAACACACGTCGCGGCAAAAGTATATATTTCGCGTTATTTATTCGCACCGTATATTTTTCGTTATTTCTTAAATTTGATCGAATTTCGGGTTGCCCTCGATCTTCGATGTTTTTCTTCGACACAAGTGGCGCATTCCTTCGCATTTTCAGAAAATTTAACACCATGTGTCCGTAAGAACGTACACATGCGAGTTCATATATTCTCTCGGGTAGCATTCCGAGGATTTGAAGCTAAATCGTCCGCTTACAAGCGCGCAGGAAGTATCGCGGGGAGAGGGAAACGTAGCCGTTAGCAAAGAGCGGCGCCCACTCGATGCTCGAACCTGTTGCTGTCGTAGCTGTAAACACCTACGTATCGCCCGTACGTGCGTGTATGCATGTACGGGGTACGTAGGTTACACGTGCGGGGATAAGCGCAACACCCAAGTACGATATATCGTAGATACGGTACGTTCGCACGTGGGCCGAGAGTACGTGCGCAGGAATGATATGGCGGGGATGACGATACGCGTCTATGTGTGCGCGTGCATACATCGAGAGGAGAAAAAAAAAAAAAAAATTCCATATACTCTCTTTATATCGGACAAAAGTCATGCGGCTTTCGCGCCGGTTTGTCGTTATCCCATAAGAATCACTTGGCATGTTCGTGCTTGAGAATTTTTCTCTTCTTTGATTGTATTCTCTCTGTATTTGTTGCTCCTTTCTCTCTCTCTCTCTCTCTCCATAGCTAATTATACATCTACTTTTTAACTTATCCGGATAAATTAGAAAGCGCGATTTGACCGGAGAGTAGCCCTTTCCCGCAGATCGCTCCATTCATAAATAAATCATATACAGGATTGGTCGGAGAACGTATAGTGAACCGAAAAGAAAGTGATTTCTTATGCAAAAATAATCTAGAGATTATTCAAACATGAATCAACTTTTCAAAGTTAATAATTTTCTCGAAAACGAAATCTCGTACGAAAAAAATTGGAGTGTACATTTTCGATTTATTTTTGCGCGAGAAATTCTTTTCGTTCGTACGATTCACTCTGTATTATAATTGTCTCTTAGTATGCACGCAACGATACGAATGGCAATTTTACAACGATTAATTATATCGAGCATCCAGTTGCATTATATCTTCGATCGGCACGAGATTTCCGAGCTCTCTTAGAAACATCCGGTATAGCTGTACGGTACGATGAACGAGCAATCTTTTTACTAACGTCATCCATCCATCCGACCAGATTCCCTGCGTCGTCGTGCGTCTCCTGCCTCTCTTTTCTTCTCTTTTTTGTTCCGTAGCTTCCACCTCGTCTCGCGCGCCGCCCTTCTTCTCTTCTCGTCGTCCTCGCGCGGTACCTCTAGGCGACCACCACCTCCCGCTCTTTCTCCACCTCCGTCTCTTTCTCCTCCTTTGCCTTCGTGTGGTATGTCCATGTCCATCCCGAGTGCCAGGTGTCATTTTCATTGCGGCCGTGCGAGAAGCGAGAGACGCGTGAGAACTTCCGGATGGTTTACGGCGCCCTTCCGGTCCTTCTATTATCCCATTTTAGTTTACCACCGCTCTGTATGTGTGAATCCCCGCCGTTCCGCTATATCAGCTTCAAAAACTTCCTTCGCCTTTCGTTACGCTCGTCTTTTCTTTCGCTCTTAGGACCGACGGAAGTAGGATAAAGAGATGCGTAGAAAATGCGTCGTACGGGAAATGCGATTAACGATCGGAAGCTCGCTTGAAATCCGAGTAAGGCGGGATGGATTAAAATGGATTATACAGGCGTGCTTTTAAAATATTCTGGACATTTCATCTCTTTTTCGACAATTGAAATTTACCTGCCTTTCAATAGATAGATTAAGCGCATTTGAATAGAGATGATTTAAAAAAAATTAACGCATCGAGTCCAAATAAATTCATTATCTATATGTAATACTAATGTAATGCTAATTCGAAAGCATCATATTTTATATGTTAAAAGATTTATGCGTTTAAAAAATGTTTTCTTTTATAAGTTTATTAGACAAAATGCTATAATGTGAAAAAAAAAAAAAAAAATGTTTCTACAATGGCAATGAAAAATTGGCGAAACAATATCTCGTGAGCAAATGGAAAATTATTCAACGATCGCGTAGTTTGTCGCTTGACGGTATTCGCAGATGTAGGCTAGACTTTAGCGCGAACGGATATCCAAGCGAACGAGATCAAGGAGCATTTTCCTCGTAAAAAGCTGCTCGTGCGATCCGTTGTATCGTGACGGAGATGATCGTAGTAATAGTAGTAGCAATAGTAAAGTAGTAGAAGCCACAAAAAGACAAACGAGATGAACGGGAGGATGGTCATAGCAAAAAGTCGAATGCTCACAGTCGACGGTAAAACGGCGGAAGGCCATTTCCTCGAACCTTTTCTTCGTTGAATGGCACGTTGCTTAACTACTTTTGCTCACGCACTATCGCACACTTCGATAAATGTATCGCGTTAACAGAAAATGCGCGTGACTTTTCGCGGTTTTTTTTTTTTCCCCCCCTTATAAAACCATAATATATCCGGGAAGACGTGGAAGGATGAATCGATTAATTGGAAGAAAATTATTTTCTAAATTGAATAATGTAAATAAAATTATGTTCGATATCGTTCTAATAGTCTCATCGCGAATAATGGGGGTGTTTTTTTATCGAGCGGTTCNGGTTCAAATGTCAAATGAAAAATCGCAAAGATCGAATCTGGCGAAAAATTTAACGCACATACTTCGACACAGATATCTCGCCTTACGGTAGTTGATGTCGTCGATGACGATAGGCCGGACAGGACGTACGCGATTGCCTCAATGAATGGACTGGCAACATCTAAATAGTCCAGTTACAGCAGACTTTGTATCGCCGGCGCAGGAAAGAGCGGATATACTTTAGTTACGAGTCTGTGCGCAATCGTCTCGTTTATTTCATTAGCCGTGTCCCATAGCGCGACACAAGTTCAGACGTTTTATTATTACGCAACGGTACAATCACTGCCATCTTAATCGCCCTTCTAATAATAATTCCGTTATCATTTATCGAGACGCGTTTCTTCGTATACGATCAATCGTGATAATACATTTCCGGGACACACATAGAGATTTTTCGGCTGATTCAACGTATCTCTACCGATTCGAGAATTTTTCGCACGATTGGAAAAAGCACTTTACGATTTTCCGCGAAAACGATCAATCGCTTTCTTTATTCATGACGCGAGTATCTGTTTGTTTGCGCAGGATAGCGAGAAGGAATTACCGGAGTGCGCGGACAGGAGCGAGGTATGTAGCAAGGTGGATTTATATGGTGCACCGTGGGTCGAGAGACAATGTCGTTGTCCGAATGGCCGTGCTTGCCCCAGCAGTCTTCACGAGGACGACGGACACACGATCATCGATAAAACGCGCCGCTACAAGCTCTGTGAACCCGTGAAACGACTTCCTATCTGTCGTTACTTCAAGTTAGTTAGATCACGTCGTGCATTCTCCTCGATCGTTACTCGTAATTGTTACTCGATTGTACCTGACATTTTTTTTTTTTACTATTTTATTTTATACATTTTTATAAAAAATTAATTTTTTAATTTAAAAACATTTATAAATATGCAACTTGACGTTCCTTCTTCGTAATGAAAAATAAATATATTTTTTTCGGACCATCATACGTGTTCATAATGGAAATATCCCCATTTTTTTTTTACTGCAGAGACATTACGTGGACCCTAGCACCCGGAGGAGGTCCAGCAAACGCGACTGTACAACGAGTTCACTGTCGATGTCGGCCAGGTAGTGTGCCGTATCTAGTTCGTAGGCAACCTCATAGATCACCGGATGGAAATCAAGGCTTTATCTACGCCTTCGCTTGCTCTCCGCAAAGCGTAAGTCAGCGATTCGAGATATCGCGGCAGAAATAGAAAGAGAAACACGTTTATTTCGAGAAATGCAATTTCTAAAATTTTGTTAAAGTCGAGAGAGAAAAAGTGTATTTTCGAGATATCTGTATCTACGTTAATTAATATAATAGCAAAATTAACTTGCTTTTAAAAGAAATACTTTGTTTTGATTCAGAGATTACGATGCCAGCATAAAGAGCCCTGTCGTCTGTTCACCGTACGTAAGAGACGTAATTCGCAACTCGAGGAGGTGAATGCCTCGCCACTTTGCCAATGTCCCCGAGGACACCGATGCCCGCGACGACACACGGATCCTGGCTCCTCACCGGCGAGATCCTACGCCGGTGTCTTAGAAATCAAGACTTACAGCGGTTACTGCATACCAGCCCACAGCTTCGATAAAGCGACCTACGGTATCTAGAGGGGATCGTAGAGAATCCATATACCTTCGCTCAACAATATATCGGCGGTGTCGATGATTCGGGATTTTTGCCACGCGTGACATTACAGTATCGTAATTAAATTACACGTTTTCGTAAAAAGTGGCATCATGATTGTATTAGTATTTTTTTTTAAAAACGCATTAATCAAACACATATTTAGCCAGTTGTCGTATCAACGTTGCCCTAATAATGTCAATAATAATCTGAAAATCTTTGCGGCAACTCTTCCTCGCGAATAAAGCGCGCTTAATTCGTTCATCGACACGACACCGAAAGCCTCGACGACGACAGGAAATTGATATATTTGTCAACTGATCATGTATCATTAACCGTACAATGCCGTGCCATGTAGCATCTTTAATGGCGCGTTGGCGAAAAATATTAAATGTAAAAAGTATGTACAAAAGTATATAGAGATAAGAAAATTGCGCGTGCCACCTATACAATTTTGTATAATATAATATTTGGATCTTTCTCGCTTTATTCTCATTAATAACTTGATCATGTTATTGTACATCTCTTGTAGCAACAACGAGTTTTTCCATTTTAGTGTTATCTACCCACTTTGTATATCCCTTTGCAGAATATTACAAACATCGCAGTTAAATATCACTGTAGTCGATATAACTTGTATATATCTGTCTCCGATATGCTCGAAATGCCATTCGAGGAGTATATTTGTACATGGTAGAGAGAGAGAGAGAGAGAGAGAAAGAGGAGAGCATTGTAAGACGACTCGGATGAGACTCTCTCGATGTTATATTTGTTATTTTACATTAACTTAATAAAAAATATGACAATATTGTGCTTTACTTTCTCCAGCTTTCCTTTTCCGAGATATCTTTCTATTTCATATATTTTATGTTAAACGAACGAGGATTTAACGATATAAATAATTTTGTAATAAAATTTATAAATCTTTGGAAAGTTTGCAAAATATATTATATGTATGTATGATAAAGAGAAGCGAGAGATTTATCGATCTTTGATCGTAGAATTTCCAATCTGCGCCGCAAGTCGATAAAGAGGATTGTGATAATGCTTTCAACGATAAATAATCATGTATATTTTAATAAAACATTTCTTATTAGAAACAATTAAATATTTCAATACAAAACACGACCGAGTTGTTTAGACAGTTCCATCTTGACAAAAGCTTATATAACTTTTTATTTCAATCAATTACTGTATACTCCCATATATATACAATATAATAAACAGTATAATAACATCACTGTATATCTGGCATTATTCTAATTTTTTATAATTTCTATTATGTAAAATTGTGTGTATATATATTATAATAGTGGTACTAATTAAACTAAATTATAATTTTTGTAAAATAATCGTGTATATCTCTCCGGAAAGCAATGCTTGAGAATATTATTATAACGCGCCATTATAAATGTATAAATTTAAATATCTATTGCTTTCCAAAGAAATGCCGCTCTCCCCTCTCGAAATACAAATCGCTCTCTCGTTCTCCATCGAGTTATCTTCGGATAACTTGACATAACCAGAACGCGAATGAACGCCATCGGAAGCCATGAGTTATCTGTGAGAACGTTACGGTCCATCACCCGCGACTGCTCGCGGATGCTCTACTCGCACGTTACCATCTGCACGGCACCGTTACCGCCGCACTGCGCTTCACTGCTTTGAATCATTGAATCGCCTTCTCTTGCCCAACGTACACAAATGTACTTCTGAGATTCATTTAGACAATCGTTCAAAATCACTCGACATCAGCGATACACGTTTAAATCGAAAGACATTGATCTATCGCAGCACCCTTCCTTTAAACATCCGTAAAAAATAATCTTTTTTTATCTGCAGATTCAACTATTGAATATATTTTCAGAGTTGTATTACAAAATTTGAAATAAGTATAATTTTTTCAAAATTATATTTTTTGTATTAGTTGTTAATTTCTTATTTTTTATTATAAACGTGATACCGCGCACAAGTAGCTTCATGCATATTTTTTCATCTTTTCAATAAATTTGATGAGAAAAGCAGTCAAGTGTGAAGAAATTAATTTAACGTGAAATTAAAGTTAAGATAAAAATCAAGAACATAATAGAAAAGTACCGTCCATTCAAGTATTTTTCAGTGATTAATTGCCATGAAAATAATTGATCTCATCTTCGTATAAATTTCCATGAGTTACTCGCTAACTATCCGATCGTTTGTAATACACAGCGATTATATATCACCCGCGATAATTGCCGTAAAAGTTGCGCGTTTAATCGCGCCATCGTATATATACGGAGCATTATCGTTGGGACTCGTATAAATTTTAGAAAGCGAATTCTCTCATAAATATGAAGAGAATTTTTCTTCAAGTGAAAACTTATTCGGACATCGCGTGTTTTCACAACTCTCGCATTGGATGGACATTAAAGGAAATTTTATTAGTCAAACTTCTCTGTGCTGAATTTTACGTCTCCTCGTGTAAATGCTCGCTCGAAAAAACACGTCGTCGCATGATTGAAGCTGTTCGTCGACACACTTTTTAGAATTCTTTACATTATTTGTTCCTCTTTTCAAAGACCGCGCTCGAGCGTAAAAAAGTTAGGCGTAAAGAACAGATCAGTTTTTCCGATTCCCAGTGGTCAGCTGGGTGCCATGTCCCCAATAGAATACAATCGATATCGGTATCGTGCCGAGTATCTGATTTCTTGCCTTTCTCATTGCTTATTGCTTCACGAGGAACAACGGGCAAATTGTAACCGAATAGTTCCCTCACGTTGCACCGCAGACAATGATTAGCGTCCACGTCAAATCAATCTCATGTCTAATATAGATAGTCGCAGACTTTCACCGAGATGCATCGCCAAGTCAAGAAGAATACGCATTCGATCTTTGGAGAAAGGCCATGTACTCAATGTGTTACTCGACCATGTCTACGATCAAAAAGTCGCGATAAAGCGAGAGCCCATCGACAAGACGGGAAGTAATAATCGCGATATAAATTCTGTCTCTGTCATTTAGATTGATTAAATGCGAAACATATGCGATATCACAGTATTTGCTAATCATTTATGTACCTCAGTTAATTTTGCGCACCCAGAAAATTTTTGTTGTAGTTGCAATACCACCTTTTTGAGTGGCGAGGCTTGCTCTCTCGCGTATAATTCATAAAGAGAATTATCTCCCGCTGTAAGCATTAGATTTACAAGAATCAACATGGTTCGACACGCCGACAAATTGCTCGATTTTCTAAAATAAGCTTTTTAAGATAACTCGTAATTCTTGTTTATTTTCTAATGTAGTAAGTCAATTAAAATAATTGTAATACCTATCTTAATGTTTGTGATATTTTTTGCATGATTTATCAGATCAGAAGAAAATTTGTCTATTTATCTTTCTCCTCTTATACTGTCGATATAATTGTTAATTTTCATCTATAGATGTAAAAATTTATTTATCAATAATTCTCATATAATTCTCTCAAACAGAAAATAATCAGAAAGTTATAATTTTAAACAATGCTTATTGGAAAGGTGAAGAGACACGCGCAAATTTAGTTGTAGTATAGTAATAAATCTCAGCATAATAATCTAGATTTTTTTCAGATCAAATAGGCGGAATAATTGACAGCTATTTAAGAATAATTTTTATCTAGATATCAATTTCTCCAATTAGCAGAAACAAAAAAGACAAACCTCTCCCTGATAATTTATTAAAATCAATCAACAGTCTATCATAAGATGTCTTCGCGGTTGATTAAAGGTTCTTGGCGAAATCAATTTTGGTCCCAGCTGCGAAACTCGTTCGCTCGTCTTTCATTGCGCCGAAAGAACGAAAAGCACAAGTAAATCTCGGACGTGCGCGAACCCTATGCGAAGTGAACAAGACGCAAAGCGGAGGAAGAAGTGGAAGGTGGATTGGTGGAGATGCACAGCTTAGGATTCCCGAGTATACCCGAGCAGTTTCTGGTTGGTTGGTAAGTGGGACTAGCGGGGACTCATAGGCACGGAGCGTCCTACGCGAGGCCGCAGTCGGGCGCAAACCCCGAAACAATCTTACATCTCGCGAGTTTCCTTCATCTTCACATCTACCGCAGCCTCTGCGCAGAAACTCACGGTAGCAGCCAGGCACAGCTCATCTCGAAATAACGAGGGACGCGGAAGAGGGTGAACACGGGTGCTATCAAGACTAGAACTGTCATCGCGATTTTGGGTGTCGGTTCGGTCCAGAATATCCCGCGTATTCAATTATTCGTTATAGTGCGAACAAGCTGCAGAATTTCTCAAGAGGGAATCGACCGAAAGACAGCAGGTGCTAGATCGACCGCAGACGCTGGATGTTGTAAAACCGATTGGTCTCTACCGGCTTGTCAGTGGAGCTTGTCGAGTGGAGTACAACTTCCTTCTTTCCTATCAGGGATCGCGGTCGAGGTCGCTACGGAGGTCGCAGTCGAAGCGAAGCGAGGACGAAAGTCAAGGTCGAGGGTCAGTCTGTCTTTACTCGCTGCACGAGGTACGAACTCATATATTTTTAATTTAAATATTAATACACGCGCACGCACGACGACTCGTTATACTTAGTATTGTTCGAGAATTGACATCTACTCATTTTGAAAACGCATACATATTATTCATTATATACCTGTATTATATAAATTTATAATACTCTTTTTATTTTTCTGTAGTTTCTATAAAAGTCAATATATTATAATATCTATCATTTTATATTATTATTATATAATGTTTATCATATAATTTATTGAGCTTCAATAATAAAACAATTGCTATTGTTTTATTTTTTTATAGCTATGAAAGGATGATTGCACCACGACGCTAAGTATTTCCGGTGTAAAATTTCTATAAATGATATTTACTGTCGTATCAATGCGATAAATTCGCGCAACATTGTGAAATATACGAATTAATTTAATTAAAAAAGAATTGAAAAGATATATGTCTTTTTTTTTATTTGCTCTATTTGCGAATGATATTCATTCGACATCGATAATTCCGCCACGCAAACTAGATAGATATTTTTTTTAGAAGAAGCAACATTCTCTCTCCGATCGCCTTTTCGCTCTTCGTACTTCCGTTATAATCTACGGAACATGTCCAACAGCCGGCACTACCGATGCGAATCGGGGCAGTGGGTGTATTCTTCATTGAATGTCTTATCTCAAATACGAAAAAGTCTCGGAGAGCCTTCTCTCATCGCGAATATTGTTCTTTAGCTTCCTTTCTCTTTAGAACGAGCGGATGATACATTATTATCATCGAGTCATCTGCGAAACAAAGTATACTCTCGAGAAAGGAATCTCATTTTACTTTTACATTAGCGATAGACACTGGTTTCTCGGCTTACTCTTTCAATTTTATATTTCTAAAAATAAATCAACACAACTAATTGTGAGTATAAGCCGGTCTTTCGAATTATTTCGAAGAAAGCATAACATATGACATACGTTTCTTTCATACCACAATCATTGGCGATCTCACTGTGGCGAATGATGTAACTACGTTACAATGAACCACGACAAGGGAAAGGACCATAACATGTTAAGCTAATTTAATCAAAGATCCGTTAGACAGTTACGTCGTCGTCGTCGTCGTCGGCGAATCGCCGCGGGTCTGTTTTCCTTTGTTTCCCGGTCGCGTCACTTGAATTGCGCGGACATAAAACGCAAACGCGAACGCAAAAAGATTTTACGAGATCCTCTCGGACTTACTTATATCCAGCACTAATCGCGCACTTTCGGCCGGCATTC